TGTGGTGACTTCCTCGTTAATACGGTGAGCAACAGCGTAGTAGTCGACCTTCTTCTTTCCGTTGCTGGTCTCTTCTCCCTCATTTTCGCTATCAAGAATCTCCTGGTCTGACTCGTCATCGAAGTCCTGTTCTTCGCCATAACGCTGAGCCAGGTTACGTTGTTGTTCCTTGACGGATGTGGCAAGTTGCTTAAGGAAGTTGTCGGTCTGCTTGAGCAGGTGAGAGATACGGGAATCCTTGGCCTGTCCCAAAAGCTTGAGGTATGTCTCCTCATCGTTAGCCTTCAAGGCCTGGAGACGCTGCTTGGCAGTTCGCTCCACACGTCTCTGCTCTTCACGTTCCATGTACTGGTGGTGCGAGATCATCATGCGACCCAGCTTCTGTGAGCGAGTGCGTTGCTGCACGGAAGCATTGGCAAGTTCGGCGCTGTGGTTGAGGATAGCTTGCAGCTGATCATACTGCTTCTTTTTCTCACGGGTTTCACGAGCATCGCGCTGTTGCTTCTCAAGCTTCTCGGTAATGCGAGCCTCACGCAGAGACTGTTTCTTCATGCGGCGATGACTCGAGCGGTTGGCAGTCATGCCGAGGTTGTCGTAGTGGAACATCTCATTCTGAAGTTGCTTGCGGAACTGGCGCTGCTTAGGCAGGAGAGAGAGGGCTTTGTACTCAATCAAGGCCTTCAACTTGAGCGAGTCATCGTATGAAGGGGCATCACTCTTGCTGGTATCCCAAACACCGAGATTAGCCGGGAGTTGAGCAAGCTCTGCCTTCCGGGCCACAATCTTGTTGTAGATTGAGATCTCACGATCCTCGCGAACCTGTTCCAGGTCGATACCCGGGGGCAAGAGCGCGGGGATCCGTACGCGATTTGCGCGGTTGGCGTGGTCTGTGTAGCTGATGGTATCGGAGAGGGAGTCGTATGGAGACTGGAAGCTATCGTACCACTCTCGGCCAAAAGCTTCAGGCTCTACACTTTCTGGAGGCTGAGTTGAGGACTTGTCCGCAGCATCAATGACTTTCTCGGCAGTGCCAACAGTGTCTATAGGAGTAGGGGTTTGGCACTTCTTAGATGCAAAGAGCTGTTGTTGAACGCGGGGTGGGATTGCGAGGTTCTTGGACAGCATCTTAAAAGCCAGGATCTGGTTTCGAAGGGTGGCCAATTGCTCTGGAGAGAAGCTCCCGCTGCCAACTGTCGCATTCTTGGCTCCGGCCGAGGTGCTGTCGTGAGGGATGCCAGCCGTGGCCGAAGAAGCAGATGCGGTGCGACCTATTGAAAATCAGGTCAGTATACTGAGGGGGTTTAAAATGGTCAGATAGGGGGTCACGACAAAACTTACCATGAGTGCCATTGGGAGCAGCCTCAGGAGCAGCCCCATTCATCTGTTGCTGCTGACGCTGCTGTTGAGCCATACGCTGTTGCTTTTGGTAAGCCTGCTGCCGTTGGATAGCAGTGAGCAGGTTGTGAGCCTTGATGAACTCTGGGTCGTCAGGGCGGACGCCCTGTTCTTGCATCTGCTTGTACTTCTGCGATAGGGTTAGATGACTACAAAATGATAGCAAGGTACGGGAGGGCGCATAGAAGAAGTGGAATATAGTAAGACTAAGGTGATAGGAAGCGATAAACTCACTTGAAGTATCTCTTGGACATTTTGCTGCGTGAGGTTAGGTGGCAGGCTAACATTGCCAGGCGCCATGTTGGGCGCCGGGTGCAGAGAAGCCATATTGACGCGTGTATTTCTTTAATTCATGAAGCAAATGGCGGGCAACCGGGTCAAAAATCAACGCGCAGTTGAGCCGAATGTGATGGTCTCCACTTGGTGCCAATTGCCAGATCGCGCAAGTACAAGGAGAGGGTGGCGCGGTCGAAGGAGTGGTAGCGACGGTGTGGGTGGGCTTACTTGTCGTGAATGCGACAAGAAGGTGGTTGTATGGGATGCTTGGCGATGGGAGACGTGATGTTTGGGGCCGTGGTCGGAGCTCGCGCGATGGAATATAGGGAGCGGGTACTTTCACGGGATTGAAAGAAAGCGAGTAAAGAGGCGAGCTGGTAGGGGAGGAGAGGGGGAAATCAAAAGGGCGCGTTTGGGGGGCGCGTCCTGAAAGTGGATGGATGGAAATGGAGATGGGACGGAGTTGCGCGACAGGCTCGGGGAAATCTGGGTGCTCAGAGCGAAGGACAACCTGGGAGGAGATTTCCAAGGAGGTGGCTGACTAAGGTCAGGTGATGCTGAGTCAGCTGTGCTGAGTTGTTGCCTGGGGCTGCAGTTCTGGTACCGATCACAGTCAACAATAAGTTATTGTCTATTCATTCTATTCATTTGTGTCTCTATTGATTTGTTTATCATATTGTCTACTTGGCTGGTTACATGTATTAGCTGTCTACCTGTCCACCTGACTGTGAAACGAAAGGCAACTACTGTAGGCAACTGGGTCCACTGAGATAATGGAACAATACAAAGATGATCAATGCATTTGAAGTCAAGTCTACTATTTCCATGGATTGACTGAATATACCCTGTTCGCTAGGAGACACATGTTACTGTGTTTATAATCCTCACAGATTCAAGCAGGGATCCTCCATAGGAATCAATCAACGCAAGACCACAACAATGAAAATCAATCAGGAAAGCAGTCATAATCCCAGCACGACTCGAAGGATAAGCTATGAAATGGTAATAATAAGCACCGCCATCAAACGTAATCGCTCTAACTCCTAAACCCCACGCTCAAGACCAAGATCAAGTTTCAAAGGACAGGCGCATATCGCAGAGCACCCTAGGCATTTGTTGAAGCCAGGAGAGAGCGCTTCATAGGTGGGGGAGGTGGTGGGGGCTTCTTCGCTCGAGAGGGCGGAGGTGGAGGAGGTGCTTTTTTGGATAATCCCAGAGTACCCACGTTGGTCGCGCTGGGACGCCGAGATACCACGCTCCCGTGAGATGTTGCGGGCGAGATGGATCTGCCACCACCGAACATGCGCTCGGGGCTGGACCGGCCATAAGAGCTGACCTCTTCGGAGTCCGCGTAGGGATCGGCAGAGATGCGACCATTGCCAACCTGAGTGCTGCTTCTGCGGCCATATCCGACTGAATTCTCGCTGGCAGTACGCTGCTGGACCCACTGGGATGCAGCTGGTGATTGCTCTTGTCGGAGTTGAGTCGGGCCTTCGAACGTGGGGACCCTGTTCAGAACAGGTCGTGAGGCAGTGTAGGTCTCTCGTGGAGGCGAATCGGCGTAATGCGCCGCAATGGTCTTGCTTGATCTGATGGGAGGTCGGGCCTCCGTGGCATTCACCAGCTCTTCCTGCAAAGGCTCATATCGTTCCTGATATGAGTGGGCAGTGTTGGAACGAGCACGCGTCGGACGGCGGACTGGAGTTTGTGTCTGGTTCGATCTGCAAAATATTAGTATCACGCGTAAAACCATGAGAGAGGGACAATGCCTACCCAACCCATTCCTGCTTCAACTGGAGGAGCGCCTCCCGAGACCGTTCGTGATACTCAAGTTGAGCGTCCAAGAAGGTCCCCATATCCATGACATTGTCGACTTCGGCCTCTTTCACGTCCTGCATGCGCCGCAACACATCGTCGCTAGCCTCTTCGTATTTCACTTTCTGGGAGCGGAGCTCTTCCTCCACACGGAAGTCCTCTTTCTTGGCTTTCTCCATCTTGGCGAGAGACGTATCGTATGCCAGTCGTCGGCTATCGAGCTTCTTGCGAGCCTGCTGATAATCTTTCATCTGAGTAAGGGATCGTTCCAAGGACTCGAGCCAGCTCGAAGTCGCCTGCGCGATGTATGCCTCTTGGATGCGCGCAATGCGCTCCTCCGTCCGTCCAAACACTAATCAGGCAGTCAGCCACGCGATCTTCCTCTCATTTCCCCACCAGGATCGCAACTTACTGATCAGGCTCTGCCCGTATTCGGAGTTCGCGTCAAAGTCCTCGCCATGGGAAACCATGCTGCTGCCTAGGTGGGCAATCGGGAGGGTCTTCTCCTTGTCGTCCCCCTCATTGCGCTTCGAGATGGCCTTGACATAGGCGGTCATGGACTTGTGAATGCGATCAACGCCTGGAAGAAAGCAATCAGCATGGATGATCCCTCGCGTGGTCGTCTGTGCCTACCTTCATGTCGCACGCCCATCTCCGTTTCCATGGCCTTGAAATTATCTGACTGGCATGTCTTGGCCTCTCCACCCATCCGCTCTCCAGCCCATTGCTTGAAGCGGCCGATTCTCTTGTTCACGTGCATGTTGGTATTTGGGGGATAAAAGGAAAAATGAACGAAATCAGAGTAAAACAAAAGAAGGCAATAAAGCCAAGCGGTAAAGTGAAAGACAGGGGCTGGGAAGAAAGGGAGGGGAGGTTGGGAAGGAAATATTAATTAAGGATTGGGATCTCGACCACAAAGTTTCTGGAATCCCCAATGCATTTGTATGCATGCAGTGGACGATCTTGTCAATCAGTGGAGAAGGGTCTTTCCTATAAGTCCATTCATTTATTCTGCTTTAATTGTTGATTTCTAGCCGAATGGTCTCATTCACACTGCTATTCTACTGCCTAACGCCTGTATATTACTGGAAATTAAGAATATAGAACATCTGATTTCCCGAGACAAGGGGGGTTCACTAATTCACTTCAAAAAGGTGACACGCGTTGGTGGGGCCGGTGGAGAAACCAAATCCCAATTGGAAGACAAGGAAATTGTCTAAGAACAACTGTACTATAATTATCCTTGTCTACTGTAGATTTCACTTGCCACAGGGTCTGACCCGCCAATGGACTTTTACTGTTTTCCGTCTCCAAACCAGTTGATCATATTGGATTGTTACATTACTCCATACTTCCACGTACATCTTCACTAGTGCACAGGGCGCCTGCTGGGTTTCAACCTTGTTTCAGTGGCGAGGCCTCGCCTATCAGTGGGGTATCCGTACTCGTACACTGATATACTGTACAGTTCTAAGCTTCAGGCATCAGGCATGTCTCATATTCTCATAATTCGATCACTCAGGCGCCAAAATTATTCGAGGGTCAATAGATAACGAATCAGGCACCCATTGTTCCTGCTCAAATAAAGCATCAAATTCATTCCAAGCACCGTCCATGATGAACGGAGAACCAAGCCTAGCCGTCGACTCCGTCTCTCCATTGAGATCTAGAGCAAACCCGCCAGTGTCAAAGTCAGAGCGCGTTTCAGACTCAGACAATCTATCCGGCGTCCACGCATCCGAGGACGAACCACTCTGCCCCAGGCTACCAATATACTGACCGGGCGTAACGCCCACCAGTTTCTTGAACACACGATGGAAATGACTAGGCGTCAGCCCCGCCTGCGCGGCCAGATCTCTTAGCCGTGGTTTCAGCCCTGAGGCCAGGTTGTGCCGGAGGGTCTCGCATGCTTTCTCGACTACTGCGGCTTGGGGGTTGCTTTGGGTGGCGGTCTGTCCTGAATGCGGCCGGCAGCGCTTGCAGGCGCGGAACCCAGCCTTCTCAGCAAGGGAAGGGGTATCGTAGAATTCAACGTTCGCTCGGCGGGCGAGTCGGGCAGGGCAGGAGGGGCGGCAGTAGATTTTGGTGGTTATCACGGCATAGACGAAGGAGTTGGCTGTGACGTCGCGGTTGGTGATGGCTTGCCACCGTTCGGAGTTGGTGACAGCATGGTTGGCGCTTAGTCGGGGGATTCTCTGGGGCTTGGATGAGTCTGACATTTGTGACAGGTATCTCCTTTTACATGGGATCTGGTGGCCATGGTGGAATAGAATATGTGCAATGGTTTCAACGGGCGGAACGTCAGGAATTATGATTGTTGTCAAATTGACCAATCAGAGTTCCGAGTGTTACCGCCGATGGCTACAAAAATAAACGTTTCACGTCTTAGCCATTAAAGGACAATAGACTGGTGAAAAGCAAGAAAAGGATTCTCATTTTTAGATCCTAAACCCAAGTCGGATTTCTATTTTGAAGAGCATGGCTACCCAGAAGTAGTAAACAGTGCAGAGTTTCAAATCCTCCCTATCATTGCTCTGGTCTCGGCTGCCTCCTCTCTCGCATTATCTTTCAGATGCCGGGATAATCTAGCTTCGAGGGCTTGCTCGGATTTCCGGGCAATTTCCAGATACATAGGGACATGGCTCTCTGAACAAGAAACAGCGAGACTGAGCAGACTAGCATCGCTTAACCGTTTAATGCGAATCCGTCAATGTTCGGGTTTTGTATAGAATTCAAGCCCGGACGTAAGGTACCATAATGAAGTTGGTCTTCGTTACTTTTTACATGTTCATATCCTAGAAGATATCGGGTCTCGGTCACCGACAGCCGTAGTGTCGTTTACCTTTATCAATCCTGTTTTGGCTACTATCGGGTACCTTTTAATTCAAACATGACGACAGAAAAGAAGCCGAATTCCCTTGTCATCGTCGCTGATGATTTAGGCTTCAGTGATCTCTCCGCCTATTGATCCAAGACTGACACACCAAACCTGGGCAGGATAGCTCAAGAGGGTATCCGAATAACAGATTTCCATACAGAGGCATCACGTTCACCAACGAGGGCAATGTTGCTGTCTGGAACAGACGCCCATATTGCCGGATTGGGTGGCATGGCTGAGCGCACGAACCGTTTCCCAGAGATTTTCAAACATAGTCCTAGATACGAATCTGAACCTTAGGGTTGCTGCTCTGCCAGAAATCATGCAGGACAATGGATACTTCGCAGTCACGTCCGGGAAATGGTATGCTAACTCCCTCGAGGACTTGGGCAATCATAATTCGGTCGTTTGGTATGGACGTCAGTGGGCCACTGCAGCGACGGCGCCGAACCGAGGAGCTAAGTCGTATACGACCGAAGTCGGTATCCGGTGCCCTTGCGTCGTCAGATATCCGACTGGGACAGACTTGCAGCCAGGATCTATCGCCAATACCTTCACGGTTATGGATATCCTGCCAGAGGTACTTGACTTGCCTGGACTGAACACCCTGGGAAACAATTTCGAGGCCGAGACTGTCACCCCGTTCAAAGGCAAATCGTGGGGAAACCTCTTGGAGTCATCTAATGAGAACCAGGTTAACCTGTACGATCCAATGACCGATATCATTGGCTGGGAGCAATTTGGTATTGCTGCAGTTCGTGTGGATCACCGGAAGGCATTGTATCTTCCTCCCCCTCGCGGAGCGGGAAAATTGGGAACTGTACGACCTGTCGACCGATCAAGTAACTTGGCGGGAAGTCATAGATGCAAGCTCTTGGAGATTATTGCGCACTATGAGACTTATTATCAGGAATCGGGTATGTTTAATAGTTACTCCATGGACAGGCGGTGTTGAAGAGTCGGGGCCAGAAAAGATGGTGGTAGCCCTAATCCCGGCATTTCTATAAACAACAGAAAAGCACGGAACGATAATAGGCTACATTCAGATAGACATTATATCAGTAACAATTTTCAGGTTCCTTTTCTCCCTGATATCCTTTTGAACGTTAACTACCCAGTCGCACATACAGTTTGTAGACTAATATATATCCTGGGTGACCTCAAGCACTTGCAACGTCGCATGGTGCCGAAGCGCCGCAACATTACATTTCATGATACATAATTTGCATAGAAATTTGTATTTGTCGGAGAAGACACTGATGCCTTTTACATAGATAGATGCAAAGGTAGATGTATACTTGCCCATGGAATCAACTGCAATATCTCGTGTGATGCAAGATGGTGATTCACGACTCGAGAGAAATGGACCAGGAAACATCCGTACTTCATACACAGTAATGTTACTCCAGAATGCAGATGCTAGTAAGCAAGAGCAATTGATTTCGACTCGTCCCAAGCTAGGTGGAAAAGTGGCAGCATGTAGGGGCCACATCAGTTCAAGCGCTGTCGAGACTACAAAGACGCTGTACGAGGAAGACTACAGTTTACTAAGGGTGACAGGCAGGACGGAATAAAAGTTTAAAGGTGTATCATTTCACAGCCCCAAGGGCCTTTTTGATTTTCCGTTCTGCCTTCACAGAGGCCATCCCCGGACCCCTATTCTTCACCCTTTGGTTATGCTGGACAGAAAGATGGTGACCACAACCTTAATTCGCTAAGGGCGCATGAGACGCTCATCCGCAGTCGCCTAAGTACGTTTGTCTCATAGCAGAATTCCATTTTCAACCCGTCACAAGAAAAACTCCAAGAAATAAACCGCTTAATCCTTGGTCTTCTGGGTACCGCGGAGCAGACCAGTTCTGCGGGCGGCAATGAGACCGGCCTTTTGACCCTGGGTGGCGTAGCGGGAGATGGTCGAGGCCTTACCGATGTGCTGGTGGTTACCACCACCGTGAGGCTGTAGAAAAAAATGTCAGAGTGTGTTCCTAGATTCAACCCAAAATGATGGGTAGGTAGTGAAAACTTACGTGATCGACGGGGTTCATGGCAACACCACGAGTCTTGGGCCAAGAGTTGCGCTTGACAGCGAACTTGTGCTTGGCACGACCAGCCTTGAGCAAAGGCTTGTCGGTACGGCCACCACCGGCGACGATACCAACCATACCACGGGCGGTGTTCTTGATGACCTTCTTGGCACCGGAGGGGAGCTTGACACGGGTCTTGCCCTCCTCGGGGTTGTGGCCAATAACGGTAACGTAGTTACCGGAGGTACGGCCGAGCGCACCACGGTCACCGGACTTCTCCTCGACGTTGGTGATGACGGTACCCTCGGGCATGGAGGCGAGAGGAAGAACGTTGCCGACGGTGAGAGCGGCGTTCTTACCAGCGTAGATGAACTGGCCGGTGTACATGCCCTCGTTGGCGATGAAGGTCTCGGTGATCATCTTGAACTTGTAGGGGTGGCGGAACTGGACCTTGGCGAGGGGAGCACCACGGCCGGCATCGTGGATGATCTCCTTGACAACACCACGGGTGTATCCGTGAGCCTCAGCGTAGTCGAGGGTACGGAACTGGGCAGGGGCCTTGTTGAGACGGGTGTTGGCCGCTGTAAAAAAGAAAAATTCGATATCAGCACTGCATTCTCCTTCGCAATCTGTGTGTGGTTTCCAGGTGATCCAGGGAGCCCAGTTTGTTCCTCCTCCTCGCTGCTCGAGTGCGCAGCCTCAAAATTTCGTGCTGGGATGGTTTTCGGTCGCACTCACTGAAAATGGAGCCACGGCCCTTCCTCTGGTTGCGGATGACACGACCCATGGCGACTGTCTAATAAATCCTGTGTTAATATTGAAGGACAGGAGTGTCGTGTGGGAGGGGGAAATCGGTCGTACCTCGAATTGAAGATAGGCTTGTCGTTGAGAAGTTGAGAAATCATCGGACACGGGGACTTGTGTGGGCTTTAGGGTGCGGTCGCTAATCTAGCCTGATTGGGTTTAGTGCGGAGTCGCTTACTCGACTTATGGAACTACGCAAAGTCTGTATCTTCTGCTTTGCCTCGTGGGAGCAGATAACTAGTACTGAAAATAATGGATTGAACTAGTCCAACATGTGATAGATTTGTAAAAGTAATTTCTACTGCTTTGTTCGTGTGTGAATCGAACAGTTTCAGCAAGCCCTGTAGATTTGGGGAGGGCAATTACATAACCCTCCACGTGACCGCCAAGACCCATTGTCATCATCGACGGACTCCTGGCCAAAGCCTATCGAATGCCTGTGGGGAGAAGTTCTCACTGTCTCTACTCTCCTATTTGGACCTGGAAATGATAACTCGATATGGTGCAGTCGCTATGAATATTCGTTTCTCATAGCTGTATACTCCATATGGAGAGATCAATCTCGGTGTACTGATGATGACACGGGCACTGATATCTAAAGCCATGCCAGCTATGGAGTAATCACTACTGGTTGCTGAAGCTTTGTCTGCCGTATTCACTACATTAAGAGCATATCGATACAGAGCTCTATACCATTTTTACCCCGCTTAAGTTCAATTCTATGCAAATTTACAGGAATGACGCCGTTGCTATCTAAATTTCCCATTGTTGTAAATCATGACATTTATAGAAACCTATAGCAGGCTTCAGTAAAAAAAACGCATAGAAAAGAAGCAGCCGCGCTGAGAATGTATTAAATAATCGCCCTTCGGGGGCAAGATCGGTGCAGACGTGACGCTCGCATGCGCGAAACTCACTTCCTCTCCTTCACCATCGTCCCCCATTACCTCCACCATGCCCCCCTCAGATTCAGAAGTCTCCTCATTATCGTCTGCGCCACCGACAGACGACGAAGCTGCCATGGCTATCGACGAGCCAGTTGGTATCGCAAAGTACTTCAAGAAGGAGTCGGAAACACCTCCGCCGAAACGGGAGCCATCACCACCGCATGAATACGTTTTGGCCGACAACCCCGATATTGCAGTGAGTATACCTCTTAAGAGATGCAAAATGCTCATTACTTGATCCGCAACCTGTCTATGACGCGTTCGGTCCATTATGGGACACGCTTACTGAGTTGTCGCATCTTAGTTCATCGTCACGTTCCGAGCGCGTTTCCATGAAGTGTTCCCCCGAGGGTTGCCACACTACGGTCCACAGGACATTGAGGCTGGAGTCCAAGAGTCCCCCCCTGGAGAATATATCGAGAGACTTCTTTGCGCGTTGCTTGGACTGGTTCTGAACCGCAAGAAGGATGTTGAGTATGGTCGCCACCCGATTCCCGATACATGCGGAGTGCACGCAGACGCGCTTTTACCACCACCAATTGCCCAACCCAGTACTAATACAATATCTGAAATAAATAGACGTGCGCATTTTACACGACCTCTTGAAGAAGCAATTCATACACACCAGTCGCAGTGGCCCAAGGCATGGGGAGGCAAGAACCCCCTTCATGGGGGTCGCAGCTTTGCGACCATGACTCCCGAGGAACGCGTACGTTCCAAGATCCACCACAGTTCTCAATTGCCAATTCTGATATGTTTGATTTTAGATCCAATTATTGAAGGCCTTGATACTTTGGTCACTTGCATCGTCTGAAGCGGTCCAGGCAAAGATTAAAGAATCATACAAGCAATCGCGCCACGATGATGACCTTAACCAGCCGCTGTCTGTTCAGTCCTGGGGCCGAGATAGCTTGAAACGTCGCTATTGGCTTATTGAAGGGCAAGAGGACACACACTTCCGGCTTTATCGTGAGAGTAACCCGGTTCTCAAGCACAATACTTGGTGGAGTATTGCGGGAGATATTCCTGAGCTGGAGTCTGTCGCTGCGAAACTCGAGGGAGAGAAAGGCACCAATTCGAAGAAACTCAGCGAGAAAATTCGCGCATCCATTCCTCGATTTGAGGCATCTGAAGAGGTAAACTGCTTTCTAGGGATTCGGTTGGATTCAGCTTACAGAGTTACTAGAAACGGAAACGCCGCGACTATCGCCTGGCGAGAAAAGCTGCGTTTACTCGCCCAGACCCTGGCTTCTCCATGTATGAAGGTCGTACGCGTGGAAAGAAGCTGAAATATACATTCGACGACGAAGACATGTTCTCTGAAGATGAAACTTCAGTCCGTCGCTCAACTCGTGGTGCGGGAACTACTGCAGCTTCCACGGAGTCATCTCGGCCTCGATTTACGGCAAGTGGGCGGCAGATTCGGTCTCGTGCAGGGGGACTCTACGGGGAGACTCTGCTGGCCGGACAAAACGACGGTGCCAATGGCGAGGAAGACGATGAGGAAGAAGAAGTCAGCAGACCGCAAAGGAATCGTACTTCCAGGAATCCTAACGGATATTCCGGATATGACGCCGAGGATCTAGAAGATGCGTCCATTCATTCAAGCGCAAACGAAAGCGGCAACGAATGGCGAGGCCCTGAAGATGACGAGGAGCATGATTTCGAAGGCGACAACGAAGACGAAGAGGAAGAAGCAAGCGAGGAGGACTCTGATGTCAGCGAAGAGCCAGAAAGTCTGGTTGTACAACTTCGGTATGGCAGAGGGGACGCACCCAGAAACGGCAATATCGAGACACAGAACGACGAACCGCCCCCTGCAAAAGATGTCCAAATGAAGGATGCCACAGACACAGCAGCAGCTCCATTCACTCAAGCATCGACAATTCCCCATCCACCACTTTTAAGTGAGAACCGCGCACCGGCGGCTGCATCCTCCCTTCCTTCTGTTCCGATACCCCAAGTGCCAACACAACCCGCGCCGGTCATCGCTCCGCTGCCTATCTCCAAGCCTAAAGAAGCCACGCTACATGGACCGATAGCCACTGCCTCTCCGTTCCCAGCTGCACCACAAACTGCTCACCCCGAGGCACCGAAGGAAAACCAGCCCACGGAGTCTAACGGCGGGAGTCGGCCTTGAATGATGTGCTCTGCACTTGCATGTATCTCTGTCCTATCCCAGACGCATGTGTAGACTAGACTCCAGCTCCATAATGTATATCTACTATCTGTTGCTAAATAGAAATGTAGCTGAGAGTCAGAGTACTGTTCTATGAAACAATCAATGCATTAAGAATATGTGCGCATATCAAAAAAGCTAGAACGGGATTGAAGTGAAGGGCTAGAAACGCCAGCAATCTCGACAGTCGTTTAATATTTGACTACATCAAACAACGGGAAACCACGTGTGCCGTAGGTTCACGTATATGCACAAGCGTCGTATCTGTTTATGGCGGGCTGTAATAGATCACTAGATCTTTCTAGCGCGAGCTCAGTGGCAAGAAACAGAAAATAATAAAAAAAAGCCGGAGCAGGGATATCGGAATGCAAATGGGAATCGAGAGAAAAGAACGCCTCCAAGGTTAACTAACGCCATAAATGCAAGCAATCCAATATACGAAGAGTCAGTCACCGCACCCCTGAATCAAAACAATAGATCGCACCCAGCAACCTCAACCTCAGTCAGAACCCGCGTTAGAGAACTGAGCCGTGTAGAACTGCAAAAACTCCTCGTCCGTCAGTTTCTCTAGCTCTGTCCGAGATCAGATGGGAATATTGGGGGAATAGGGACGCTTTGCTCACATCTTCAACATCCGACACCAGTCGTGGGTCTCTACTCGAGCCCATTTGCGGTAGACGCCAGTTGTTCACTTCGTACCACCATCTGCGAATCCGGCTGCCGAGGGTGTGGCCGCTGACTGAGGCATTGCGGTTCCAGAAGCGCCAGCCTGAAAGGGCGAGAGTCCAGACAGTTCCTTGGATTAGAGGGAGGAGGACCTGAAAAGTGAGATCAATGTATTAGCTATTTATCACCAGGTTTCATCCCGCACAGCTGTGAGGGATCACTCTAATGGTAGTGAAGCTTACTTGGTCCCTGGTGGTAATCCATGCCACCCGGCCCCAGGTGTCGGCATCCTTCAAGCTAGCCAGGTAGCTTTGCTCGAAGCGCAGATCCGGAAGAGGAGGAAGAGTATGACGACGACGGAGTGGTCGAATCACTCGGCTTGGATCAACGATATCGGAAGCAATACTGTCAACATCGGAGTCTGGGCCAACATCGACGGGTTGCTTCTCTGAAGCTGCAGTGGCTGGGTTGATGTCATGAGCAGGATCGGGATTCGAATTGATGCTCGCAGATTGGATAATCTCCGGGATCTCCATAGCGTGGCCGGCCATTGTAAGTTGAGTTATACAGAGTGCAATTCACGGGGAACGTGAAGCCGTAGGTGGATCTTAGGATACCTTGCAGTCCAGTCCGCTCTTTTCTGCCAACCCCTCCATATCCTCTCCCACCTCTCACCTTTTTCATCTTCAATTCATCCATCTTTCTTTACTATTATTCACAATGGCTGCTGCTCAAGGTTACCCTCTTCTCTGTCTGGAGAACCCTCTCCTCGGTATGTGCTCTCTCAGTCGGAAGTTTAGACGATAATGCTGACATCTTGTTGTAGACATTCAGGCTCGTGGGTATGGATAACTCAGGAGTAAATCGAGATAATTTCATGCTGATATCATAATTAGTGATGCTGCTCTCCTCGAGAAGTACCGGCTGAAGGAGAACGATGCCATTCTCGCTGAGGACCAGCACATGGGTATCTACGAGGACCTGCTCGCCCGGGACGCCAAGCTGATCCCTGGTGGTGCCGCCCAGAACACCGCTCGTGGTGCCCAGGTATGCTATTATACCACCAGAAATACCTCAATGTTGAATTGACATGTTTCTAGTACATGCTCCCTGAGCAGTCCGTTGTCTACATCGGCTGCATCGGCAAGGACAAGTTCGGTGACATCCTCAAGAAGACCTGCGAGGAGGCTGGTGTCCACACTGAGTACCGTGTTGATGAGTCTCAGCCCACCGGCAAATGCGGTGTTGTCATCACTGGCCACAACCGCAGTATGTGCACCCACCTCGCTGCTGCCAACGAGTACAAGATCGAGCACCTGAAGCAGCCCGAGATCTGGTCTCTGGTTGAGAAGGCCAAGTTCTACTATGTCGGTGGCTACCACCTGACTGTCTGTGTGCCCGCCATCATCGCTCTTGGCGAGGAAGCCGCTGCTAAGAACAAGGTGTGTAAACTGCATTTGGGTGCATTGAAACCTTTTCTAATGTCGTTGATCTATTAGCCTTTCATGCTGTCTCTCTCCGCCCCCTTCATCCCCCAGTTCTTCAAGGAGCAGCTCGACAGCGTCCTGCCCTACACCGACTACACCTTCTGTAACGAGACTGAGGCTCTTGCCTACTCCGAGAGCCACCAGTGGGGCACCGAGGATATTGTTGAGATCGCCAAGAAGCTCGCTCAGCTCCCCAAGCAGAACACCCAACGTCCCCGCGTTGCCATTGTCACCCAGGGCACTGAGCCCACCGTCGTCGCCATTGGCTCTCCTGCCGGTGTCATTGAGGTCAAGGAGTTCAAGGTGCACGAGATCTCCAAGGACGCTATCAACGACACCAACGGTGCTGGGTAAGTGATTGTGATTTGAAGCATATCTATGCTCAGTTTTGCTAACCTCTCGTGCAGTGATGCCTTCGCAGGTGGTTTCTGCGCTGGTATCGTCGGAGGCAAGAGCCTCGACGACTCCGTTGACATGGGCCAGTGGCTCGCTAGCAAGAGCATCCAGGAGCTTGGACCTTCGTGAGTTTCCCTTCTACATTTACTATAGCCCGGTTATACTTGATAAAAGGCCAATGACTAACATATTCCCAGCTTCCCCTTCCCCAAGCAGACCTACTCTCGCTCCTAAATGGTCGAAATATAGACACCAAAAGCATAGATTACAACCTTTTCAACACATCTTCCAGCTTATTGGGAGATTTGGTGCAATAATCCAGTTCTAACAACCGGATAAATGCCGCTCGATTTTGGATGATTCAACCCATATACCCAACTTTTCTTTTTCTTTTCTTTAAACTTGATGACTTCAACGTAACGTCTAACAATCGAATGAAACCCATACATTTCTCTTTGAGAACCTTGTCTCCATTTATGGTGACTACACTTGATACAACCACTTAGTGTCTGTACTCAACAACAATCCCACAATAAACACGTTCGGGCTCATGGTTCTCTAGCTACTCAGAGCGTCTATACTTTACATAATTTGACTGCAAAAAGGAGCACGTGGAATGCAAGTTTGATATTCGAATACCTAAACAGCACGACTGCACCATTAAGGGGGTCTCAGGGACCAGACCAGTACCCTCGTGCCATATATTTCCTCTACCGCGAAAGAAAAAACAAGGCTAACAAGACGGAAAGATCAAGTTCATGTCGCATGAAAAAGAAAAGAAAAAAAGACGTAGAAAACAGAACGGAACAAACGTCTCCAAAGGCAAAAAGCCAGTATCCATCTCCTCATCAAGCCACGTGTTGAACGCGCACATTCGTCCAGACAAAAAAATGCGAGCGAAAATGGGGGATCCTGGGAAGTTTCATAATCGGGGATATCCGACCATCGGTCACTGGGGTTGAAATTCCGGCACTAGGGGGGTGAATAGCGCGGATCTGCCACTTGTGATCTGGCTAGCTGTAGCACAATCACGTCTGTTCGTCGCAAGGATGTAGGCAGTGGGCTTAGGCGCTGCGTGTAGATTCAACGAAACCTGGAAGAGTTCGTATCGCACAGTACAGGTGTTCCATGCCCACGCTCAAACAGAGTACACACGCCAGGAAAGCCGTAGGTCCAGTTGTACACTTTGGTCAGAAGGCTTGCCCGGCTGGTAGTGCTGCATGCATTTGCATATTTAAGAACTCAAAGTTACGAGAGCTGGAGTAACACGATCAGCCTCCTTGGCCACAGGGTGGGGTTTGACCGATTGCTCCGAGCTGGGTTGCGGATTTGCGTCCTCCGATTCCGGAGCTGTAGGGGGTCGCTTGGGCGAGGCTGCTGGCAATGAATGCTTCGTTGGCCCATGAGGGATGTCCCAGGCTGCTTGGGTGTGTTTGGCTTGGAATTTCGAATGCGCCAAAGGTCGTTCTGCCATGAGGATCTCGGTCCCAACCGTTTGCTGTGGACCGTGGCTGCATGTTGGACATGCTGGGTGACATCCACGGCGTGGGCATTGATCCTACATCCAGCGAGTTTGAGTACTGAGTCTGTGCGAAATTGTGTCGCAGCATGAGTTCATGTGCGAGCTGTTCATTTGATAAGGATCTCTCGGAGCTCATGGCATTTTTGGCAACCATTGGGTGCAGGGGAGCTTGTTGACCGACTTGCGGGCCAAGGCCAGGAGGAGTACGTGGAGGGGCGGGTTCTCTCAGCGGAGTCCAAATACTCGGGAGACTGGGAATGGCAGGTCTGGGAGCATATGACTGAGCAGACGATGCTCGAAGAGAATCAGCTGCATTGACAACTGGTGGTCTAAGCCCAGGCGGAGGAGCGATGGGGGTGCCGAGCGATGATGAGTTCTCTTCGCCGAATGGATAAGAACTGGCATTCGGAGACACATGTGTGGGCGTGGACATCTCTCCAACCGGGCTCAGGAAAGCAAATTGGTCAGGGACATTGGGAGCATTCTCATAGGTGTCTGAGTCGACAAGTCGCTCAACGCCTTCAACAATCCGGTTCATATTGGCGGACATAGATGCCGATGCAGACTGAGAACCACCGAACAAACTTTGAGCCTCTGCGGCAGAGTGAGAATCCTGGGTTGCCTGGGGAATATCCTCACGCTCGATGCTCGCCGATGAGAGCGCATGCTGCCGACCATGGGGGCTAGAGTAGAATTGTGATGGCAGATCCTCTTCCTGGTAGATGAATGTTTTCTTGTCTTCGTTATCCACAAGAGCCACCGGGATTCTATTGCTCACAACCAGATCAAGCCCATCAATGACAAACTCACGGATCCGGTAGAGCATTTCCATATTAGGGTGGCTTCTTTCCACCCCAAGGTCGTGCATCCGGGGCTTGGCCTGATCACCGCCTCCTATATAACGGCGAGAGGTGGCATCTTGATCCAGAGGTGCAAATCCAAGGCTCTCTTCGTCCTCTTCCAAAAGATAGTCAATTTCGGGAAGGCTCACAACGTCGAATGAGGATGCAAGTAAACTCAGTGTGCCAGCGTAAATTTTCCAGAACTCTTTGATCTGAATCGACAGCGCGGAGTCCTTCTCTTCCTTCTGTTCAGCTAGAGACTTGCTGTTTGTAAGTAGCCAGGAGCTGTAATGCCGAAGTGCTGGCAAGATCCGGCGAGCAACCACAGTCACCTTGTCTGGGCTAGGCAATGCGTCTTTGCCGTTTGAATCCTCAAATAAGGCAGTCCGTTCCAATTCTACCAAGAGAATTTGCAGCAAGGTGAAGAAAGTCTTTACATTGATTCGTTGAAAAAAGACGCGGGCATCCGAGACGGATTCCTCTGGGGTATGGGTAAGCGCATGCATAAGCAATAACAACGTCTTGTATAACTTACCAATAGACCGGGCTCTGGCAAAATCCTCGGCGGCAATATTAATGAGACAGAACTTCTGAAGAGTACCTTCAAGTGACCGTTCTCTAATTTCAACTGCAAGTTGGCTTAGGACTTCACTCTCCAGTTCGTCATGCTCCGCGAAATCAATTCCTTTGTAACATTTGGCATGAAGGTATAGAAACCATGGCGTCAAAGCTCTCCCGGGGATACCGGCATCTTCAGGACGGATTAGCTCCCTTTTCGCCCATGCGCTCATGATTTTTCGGAGCTCGATCTCCAAATTACCCTTTGCGGTAGGGTGCGGTTCTTGAGCCGAAAGAGCTCTGTAAAGATGATATGTAGCGCGAAGATGGTTTCCGTCTGCGAGTGCAATAATCGCCAATTGGTTCTGGGATGCTCCCGATGCAGGGTTGATCACCGATGCCAGATCGTAATAACCGATGGCAGGGCCCCAATTACGATCCTTGCTGACGAGTTCCGATTCGCGATAACGGGAAAGGTCTCCGAGTCTTATAAGCGTCGCGTGGCATGACTGGAGGATGCGCTTGCGCAGGTCGTTGGAGGGCTTGATAGGAGATTGGCCTGACAAATCTATAAACAGCCTTTGGTTAATACCTATGACTCCGGCGCACAGCATTATGTCTGCCTTACTCTCGAAATTGAACTTGCGCGCAACTCTCTCCAGCTCCACGATCCCTCCAAAGCGTGACGACAAATGTTGAATATATCCGCGGTAGAACCGCTGGCTCGACTTGATAAAATCAAGGTAGTGTCGTTCAAGTTTCCGTCTTTCCACTGGTTTCTTTTTGCCGTGTTCTTCGCGGAACTAATTGAGTCACGAATTTCAGTAAATCTGGCCTAGCGAGAAGTGTCCATGAGGTACCCACGCGAAGAAGCTGCTTGCGAAACCGGTTGTTCACTTTCAAGTGCGCATCCCATAGACGACTCTCTACGTCAGCTTCGCGGGCGGCATCGAAATCAAGAAGGATTGCATTTTGGCAGGAAATCCGGAACCTAAGTAAAAAAGAGGTCAGAATAAGCGGCGTGCGCGCGGGGCTTGCGTTCGGCGTTACGGACTCGGATAGGAAGTGTTCGAATTCATCGAACGTGCGCCGTTCCTGCGAGAAACATTGTAGGAGCTCCTTCTCAGCTACTATCGCAGTTCTGTATCCCGGTTAGATCTGGGTTTCGAGGAGGGGAATGAGCACTGACTTCCAGGCATCCGTGAACGAGGGCGCCATCAGGGAGTTGGCCCGGGGATCCCGAGCGTCGACCTCGCCGGTCAGATTATGACTTGGAAAGTAAGCAGTGAGCAAGCCATCAGTATGAAAAGAAGAAAAAGGCGCGCGTTGGGCAAAGGCTGAGAGTATGAAAATGCATAAATGCGCGGGTCCGATGGTCTGGCCCGCTGATTGGTGGCGCCAAGGCGGGAAGTAATATTGCCCATACGGTGATTACCCTCTTGTCCTCACTTCAGAGAGACCATTGAAGCTATATTGAGATGCGAATGATCAGATTGTTCCAAGTCCAATGACTGGATTTGGCCTTGAAATCTGTGCTCCACCAACCCCTCGCCAAGTCGACCTATCAACCGAGCATATGCAAGGCGAATTAGAAAACCATGTCTAAACGCTCCAGAAGCCACTCGAGATCCCCTTCTCTCGATGGGACAGGCTCAGTATCTTCAACTACTGTGAATCTAGCGACTCCGCCTCCAGAACGCAACAAGTTGCTTGATAGTGGCCCGAATATCCTCCCAGAAGTGATGCATTGCTCCTTACCGCCTCACCGCGAGACGCTCTCGTTTGCATCCTACGAGGACTACGAAGTCCATTATCTGCAAGCTCATGTGAACCGCTGCTCTGAGTGCAGCAAGAACTTTCCTACAGGTCATTTGCTCAATCTACATATTGAGGAGAACCATGACCCGCTGGCTGCTGCGATGCGAGCCCGTGGAGATAAGACGGTAAGTACAGGCTTCGTATCAGCCACCACCATTTAGCCAATTTAAATGCTTACAGACTGAATAGTTTGGTTGCTTCGTCGAGAATTGTGAACGGAAATGCTCAACCCCCCAGAAAAGGCGGATGCATTTAATCGACAAGCACATGTTTCCTCGGGTATGCTTCCATTCCAATCTCTCTGTTCAGTTCTATTCACTAACACATAGTCTGCAGTCCTATAATTTCTTCATTGTCAATGACGGTATTGATAAACATACCTCCATGTTGCGGCCGATGAACAGCCACAGACGGCGCATCTCAACGTCGTCGGCTCTGGAGGGTAGATTGCGGCGTCGGAGCTCTGCTTCGCAGTCGAATCCACCGGCAGCTGCAGTCCCTGAAACAAAGCCGTCAGCTGATATGGAAATTGAGGAACTGGAGAAGTCCATGTCGGCTCTACGGTTCGTGCCTGCAAGCGTGGCGAGGAATCGAAGCAAGACGTCTGGAAAGTAGTCTACGTTACGACATTATGATTTTTCACGAATGTGCGTCTGGATTGACTGGGTTGGGATTAGACACTGTTAGCTTGCTGTTCATACCATGCTTTAATTCGATCCAACATTTACCGTGTATGGTAAACCCATTTTTCAGAGGGGCATCAAAAATATATCTTCCAACCAAGATGAACCTAGTGGTCAAAATATACTCAAAAGCAAAAGTCGTCGTAAGATATCATCTTTCTATATCTTTCTTCGAGAGCCTGAATACTTATGAAGTCTCAACATTATGCAAACTAAAGGTAAATTTCCAAATGAACAAAATATGGCATTATCCTCAACACCAGCAGGGTATAGACAGCACTAAGCAAGTGACGAAGTCATCCATAATACATACAGATCAATAAATGAAACAAAGAACCCCAGAACCTTGGAAGATATCCTCATGTCCCGGCTCCCATAAATAAACGCCCAAAAACATCAATCAAGAAAAGACGTAATATCAATAGCATCATTAAAAGTGACCATTCCAAAGACGCCATTTAGAGCTTTTGGCAAAGATGTAACACCATCTTTGCCCCTAAAAGTGGGCAGATTAAGCACAATGCCCAATCTATATCCCATTGAAACCAAATATTCAAACATCCCCAGAAAGCTGGAATCAGCATTCCAAAAGATCAGCATAAGCATCCAAGCTCGACCCGACCAAATCAACAATTGCCCAACTAGTGTTACCCTTGAAAGTCCGCGCCCAAACACGGACAATCGCAACACTTAACTGACGCACCTTGTATGGGTTAGTCATGAACTCAATATCCGGTGCGCCTGGGGGATCAACAGCCATTTCGGTTTCATCCATCATGCTCTTGATCCACAGGAGCAATTTGCGCTCATGCTCCGACAGCCTCTGTTCCGGTTGTGAAGCCGGGATGGAAAGTAGCCAGCGACTGAGTAGGAATGCACATTCCAGACTGCAGAGGGAGTGCTGGATACTCCAGAAGAATGAATGGGTTCTGGCCACGAAGTCAATGCCTAGACGGACTGGGATTGAAAGAGCGTGAGCTGAGTGGAGCAGCGCCATGATTAGCCGTGGGCTACGTGCGATTGCAGGTGACTCGATGAGAGCTCCTGCAATTTGGGCTGGATCTTGAGTGATGAGGTGACGACAGGGGCCCAGGTCAACGTGGAGACGGATATAGGCGAGTCCAAGCAGGGCGGTGGAAGTGAATGCGATTGGACCAGCGGGATTCTGGGGATCAATGCTGGATTCGGGTGTGCGCTTCCATAGAGCCTTCCATGCGCTCAATGAGTTATCCAGCACATTCAAATCGTCTTGCCTTAGACTGGTACCTTGCATGTGAGGCGCTGAGAGGCAGAGCTGTCGAGCGAAGAAGATTTGTTGTATGATGGCATGGATCAGGATGTAATTCCCGAGAGGGGATATGGGTGCCGACGGGAGTGAATGAGATGATTTGAGGAAGAGTCTGGCAAAAGCCTCCTGGAAGGGGACATCCGAGCCTTGTCTGGTGCGATGAACACGGCGCCATTGAGGAGCATTGGTTGCTTTCCAAAGATCATGGGAGCAGGGCATGTTTAACTTCAACTCCCCATTTAGAACCAGAGGAGGAACGTTGTACATAATCGAGTGAAGATTGAAGAAACAATACACGATGAGCTTCGTGCGTCTGTTGCCTTCTCTTCGGACCCACTCTTCCCAGCTGATAGGATCCGGGGTAGGAGGTGGCTCGGACAAGCCATGCTCGCGAACAAGTCTGGCCAAAGTGCTCTGAAGTGAGAGAATCTCCCGCAAGAGTTCTGGGTGTCGTTCCCATGAAGCGAATACAGTAAGAAGTAAAAATGTTCGAATTACCTCCATATGAGCATCCGAGTCATCCATTGTGTAGATCGACGCATTGATCGGGGCATTTGACATTTGCTGATGATGTTGAAACGGGCTGCTCGCCGTGTTTGAGATCATTGACGATCCGCGGGAGGTGGGAAAACCAGAGGGCGGTGAAATATAGTTCCATGTCGGTTGGGGTACTTGCTTGCTGTCTCGTCGACGAAGTCGTTCTAATAGAATTGCCTTTGCTGCATGGAATAAATCAATGCCTCGACTGTTTTCGAATCGGTAGTGGGAACCGGCAGCTGCTAGCGCCAGCGTAAGTTCAGGAGAGGACTTGGCAACGGACAGCGTCGGAACATGTAAGAATGGAAGATGCTCGTTCAGTCCATTGATATATCCAGCAAAGAACCTGGATAGGGCATGGCGTGATGGCGGAACAAATCCTTTGGGAAGGACATATGAAAACTCCTCCAGTTTCGAAATGAATGCCTGACGGTCCGAGTTGGAAATGTCCCATGCAGGTCGAGTGCTTTCATCAGCAAGACCGATACGGTCATCCATTTCGTGGGATTCCGGTTGCAGTGAAGGCAGCCGGGATCCGAAATTTGAGAACGACGGCTGATCATCCGCGGGGACCCGTGGATCGTTCATAATATGTTCACCCAGTCGCGAGGACATGGTCTCACGCGGCGGTTTGGAATCGATTGTCATACTTGGCGGCATCATAGGTTCCTCAACCGATGAGAACACGCCCGAGTCCCAATCGGACGACAGACCCACACTTTCCAGAAAAACCGTGAAATCCTGAACCGGGTCCCCAAGATCAGTCAGATCGAGAATAGAGGGCTCTACGCCATAATTGTCGGTAATTGCTCTCTCCTGGAGTTGGGGAAGTGGTTGTGAGGTTGGGATGGATTGTGAAGATTTTCTGATAGACTCCAAGCTCTCCTGTTGGCCTTCCAAGGCAACGTGACTTGCTGCATGGGACAAGAGGTTCAAATCATAGCCCCACGAGGGATTGAAGTGAGGTGTATCTATAATTGGAGGAGGCTGGACCTGGGCTTCGGGTGGAGGAGGCGGAGGTATTTGAGTGTGCACTGGGATGGCGTCTGCAAGTTCTAGCATGCGCGACTCATGGTGGGCGGGCTGGATGATATTATTTTGAATTGGTATTTCATGGTTGGATTCGGTACCATTCGTTCGATGCTCTCGACTGGCAGCAGACTCGGCAGGGTGCACTAATCGCTCATGTCGTACTAGAAGATCACTGCCAAATAATATAAGCGAATGACAGGGGCATGAAGCGCAATCCAAAACTTACCTTCGAGCAAAAGACTTGGAGCAAATGTCACATGAGAAGGGTTTCTCCTTTGTATCTGTCCTACATTAGAAAAGCCCAAGGAACCGGGAAGAGGGGGTTACTCAACGGGTGCGGAGATGGCGTTGGAGATGCTCCAAGCGAGCAAAGGACCGACTGCAATATTCACACGACAAGGATTTTCGGTGAGCGGCACCCTTCTTTTTCTTGGATTTCTCGTCCTCCATCTTTGGGGATTGGGGGATTGGAGGTAAAGAGAGGGGAAGAATTTGAGGTCTGAGCGGGGAAATTGACTGTGGGGTGAGGGGACAGTCACGTGCCATCTATATATCGTTGTCTCTGCCAACACATCTAGTTGTGGTGGCCTCTATAGAGGAGGATATGTCTGATCCCCCATGTCTGGTGTGTGTTGGAGATAGGCCGGGTGCATAGATGCCGCTGTTCTGGCCCGACGTGCATGCGCTCGGGTCTCCACTGGTGCGGAGAGTGGGAATCACTCCATACAGATGGTCAGCATCAGACTAGTTGCAGTGTGTATCTTAGGCTATCTTAGGCTGTGCTTGGTTGAGAAAATGGCTATATAAAGGTAGTCGGAATCACCAAGTCACAAAGGCTTAGTATGACATGTATAAAAGTGGCTATGTCAGGTTCAAGCATCGGGCAATTATAAACAGAAGATGTTATCTTCCGTCGGTTTGGGGCTTTTTAAGCGAACTTGTCTCCTTGTGTTTGTGTCTAGAACCAAATATAAACACATAGTGTCGTTATGCCATACCTATCCTATGGAGTATTTTTGGATACATTCAGATATTCCCAGATCGGCCCGGGTACTTCAATTGAGTTCAATAGAAACCCACTAACCACCGGATGTATAGAATAACTGGAGCTGTGGGAGACACCAAGCCTACTTCAGATTCACTCCGTAGAGCCGCTGTTTCATGCGTGGGGCTTGGGAACCAACTCTCTACCTAGGGACTCTCCAATCATAAGCGATAAACCCAGCCATATTTCTTTCAGTCTAGGGGATATATAAGTATTTTCGTGGTGAAACAGATGAGACACATAAACGCGTGGGGGGGGCGGGTTAGGCTTTCCCCCTTGATACATGAGGCCCTTAGTCACTCTGTTCCACCGGGCTTCATGTTACAAAACTCACAGTGCAGTCCAATTATCCAGGTCTTCCGATCTACTTCCTAGATCTACTTCATATTTTTGCCTTCTACCTTATTCTATTGCTGAGTGGGGGTATCTCGATAGCCGATCCAAGCACTAGACCCGATCTCGGCCCAAAAAAAGCTCAGACGGTAAGCTGCAGTGAGGTCCCTCATTTCGATCTCGCCTGTTCGGCTGAGAGCATCCTTTGGCTTGTATCCTGGTTAGTGTCGCCTTTTCTACTTGTCTCCTTCGTACTCTCTTCTCCAGCACCCCTCTTGGGGTCAAATTCGGAACATGCCGCTGACTGAACACCAGGGAACCGGGATTATGTGTTGACCAACGTCGCATTTTTGATCGGACCCCCCACCTCCATTCAAATCGACCCGAAGAGCCCTTCGGAGAGCAAAGGGCACCTTGCGATTGACATCAATACCGAGCGACGAGGGGTCGAAGGCATTCGCACAACCCGTTCAGACATGTTGGCCCCCAAGCAGTATTCTGCACCTTTGAGTGTTCCGTCGTCCCAGACCCCAACTGCATATCATGCGAACCCGTTACAGAGACCCGCGACAGCCACAAGAGCTCAGGATGGAATGGGATTCGCCAGCCCGACGAAATCGGAGCTTTCGGAGGGGCAGGACGATCTGGCATCAGTCCGGTAAGTGCCCCAATAGTGGATCAATGACCGCAGTTATCCTGACCATCTGAAGCACCTGGGATGAGAAACGTGTTGTCGCCTGGCTTCACAGCATCAAATGTGGGCAATATGAGTCGTTATTCAAAGGTAGGTTTGGCTGTACTGTGTCCACTGAAGGCTACAGGTGAACTGATCGCTTCCAGCCAACAATTTCAATGGGGACAACCTGCTCGAATGTGACCAAAAGATCCTACAGGAAATGGGCATTAAGAAGGTGGGCGACCGAGTGCGCATCTTTGTCGCCATCAAGCAACTCAGAACCAAGTCTGGGACCTCGTCAAGACAGAAGAATATGGTGGGTTCCGAGTGCATATTGGGTCTCTCTTTTGCTGTTGCTAACCATCAAAACAGGATACCCTAGCCGCCCTCGAAGCCACCGCGCTCTCTAATTCCTCCCGCTATTCTCATTCCCGCCTACCGTACCGACGCACATCTCAGCTGGCTGATGATTATCTGAACAGTAAAACGCTGTCTCAGCCTGCGTCGCCACCCGCCGGTGACTCTGAAAGGGGTCCATGGCGCAAGGATTACCTGAACCATCCATCTTCGGGTGGCTCAAGCTCTGGTCGAAACACCGGCACTCCGAACGAAGGCAGAAGCTCCCATCCTCGGAACCCCAGTCTTGACGGCCTCACCATGGGCCCTCTTCCGCCAAGCTCCCCTGTCATCCGCGTCATATATACCGGTGGACAAACCAAGGTGTTGGATATCCGCAATTGCAAAACACCCGACGAAGTCATCCTGTGTGTGTTGAAGAAGCTGCAGCTTCCGGAGCACCAGTACAGAAATTATTGTTTCTATGTTCTAGACGGGTTAGATCCAGATCTGTCTAATTGCAGGAAACTCACTGAACCCGAGCTCATGGAGATTTGTGACGGGTTCAACAAGTCCGAACGAGGCCGCTTGATTCTACGAAAGATTCATGCCGGCGAGCCAGATATGGACGAGCTTCGACGTGCCTCTCAGCTGGCATACGATGAAAGTCAGGCCACTCATCATAACGCTCTCAGCAATTCGAATCAGCGCCAGAAACACAAGATCCAGCAACTTACCGGCGAATCTTGGCATAACATTAAGCAACCACTCTCTCCATTAGGTCCCCGACATCGTCCTTCCAATTCTAGTCTGGAAGACCAGGGCCCTAACGGTGAACGGAACCCCGTGGCTAAGCTTCGCTCTTTCTTCGGACAGAGACCTCCAAGTGAGATGATTATTCACGAGCTACAGTCATTCTTCCCCAGTCATGACCGAGAAAACATCGAAAAGACCATGCGCAGATCTCAACGTTTGAGCCGTGCCGCAAGTCGCATGAGTGTTGTAAGCAACTACAGTGTTGCTTCAAGTATGAAGGATGCTCCTCCTCTACCACCATTGCCTCCGATCCCACCAATCCCCAGCATTGCAGATACATGGCTTCAGGGCCCAGGGGCAGCACAGGCAGTACGTGCTCCGCGGCCTATATCAGTCTCAAAGTTCAACCTACCACAAACCTCATATCGGGACTCCATTGCGTCTAGCTCTCTTCAGCCTCTCCAGGAAGAGTCGCCCATTGAGCCGAACCGCAAGTCATACGTCTCATTCGAGAGTGGCTCTGATGAGCCGCCCAACACCTCGCGCCAGAGCCTCTTTGATGAGAGTCTCAGCGTCGCTGCTACCGATGGCGGTTCGTTGAATGATCGGATGAGTGTCATTGTAGCCGAGGATGGCGAAGAAGAGGATGATGGCCTCGCTGACTTCTTGGCTGGAAATAACTTCGCACCCAAGAACTGGATGAAGGGATCGTTGATTGGTGAAGGTTCCTTCGGAAGCGTCTTCTTGGCTCTACACGCCATCACCGGAGAACTTATGGCCGTCAAGCAGGTCGAGATCCCATCTGCTACTAAGGGCACAGAATTCGATCAACGGAAGAACCTCATGGTCACTGCCCTCAAGCACGAAATCGAGCTTTTGCAAGGAATGTCCCATCCGAACATTGTGCAATATCTCGGTACCGTTGCCGATGATCAATACCTGAACATTTTCCTGGAGTATGTTCCTGGAGGTTCTATTGCTACCATGCTGAAGCAATATAACACCTTCCAAGAACCCCTCGTCAAGAACTTCGTCCGTCAGATCTTGGCCGGTCTCTCATACCTCCACAGCCGGGACATCATCCACCGTGATATCAAGGGTGCCAACATCCTCGTCGACAACAAGGGCGGTGTCAAAATTTCCGATTTTGGTATCTCCAAGCGTGTCGAAGCATCCCACCTCCTTGGTGCCCGCGCCAGTGGCGGCGGCGCAGGCAGCCATATCCACCGCACGTCCCTACAGGGAAGTGTATACTGGATGGCACCCGAAGTCGTGCGGCAGACTGCCCACACCAAGAAAGCCGATATCTGGAGTTTGGGCTGTCTCGTAGTCGAGATGTTCATTGGCGCTCACCCCTTCCCAGACTGCAGTCAACTGCAGGCTATCTTTGCTATCGGTAGCAACAAGGCTCGTCCTCCTGCTCCGGATCACGTCAGTCAGGAGGCTGTGGACTTCCTTGACATGACTTTCCATTTGGATTATGAGAAGCGGCCTAGCGCTGATGAGCTACTTCAATGCGAGTTCTTGTCTGCGCCTATTCCATGATTTAGCGATTTGCCTTCTTTTTTTCGTTTTTGCTTTCGGGTTTCATTGATACCTGTATGTAACATGATTCTACGCATGATGGTGAACTTTTTTTCCAGTATAAACTATTATCTCAGCTATAGGCTCTTATTCAGTAGTAATGTGATTTAGCTGGACTTGTGTTGTTCCTTTCCTTTTGACTGTTTTGGAAATTATTCTTGTGTGATATAATTCTCGCTGTAAATGTAGAATGAAATTCAAAGAAAATAGTACACAATTCCGGATAATCACAATGACCATTTATGCAGGTCGTTTCTAAAGTTACATGCAGGATATCAAAAGACCATCCAAGTGGAGATATAATAAGAAGCCAAGATGTCGCCAGATGTACAACCACTTTAGTTTACGATTTTTCCGTAGAAGGGAATACCCATGGCGCTCAGGAGGAGACGGGCATCCTTGTCGGTTCTGGCACTAGTGTGGAGAGTGATGTGGCAACCGGGAATCATCTTGGGAGGGTACCTGCAAGGCAAATTAGCTCTGGCCAACCAATATCCAACGTGGCCCACACTTACATATCGTAGTTGACCTCAATCTCGGGGAACAGGGCAACATTCTCCGGTTCCATACCGAAGGTGATGTTTCCACTGCTGTCACCGCTGGTACCCTTGACACCTTCCCAGTCCTTGATACGGGGCAAGACAACATCAACCAGCTTACCCAGGAAGTGGTACATGTTCTCGCCGTACAGCTCAGCCTTGACGGCAACAGAGTCACGGCCGGGGACAATACCCCAGTTAGCAACGCTGGTCTTGGACTTGAAAGTCTCAACGCGGACGTTGGAGATAGCCTGGACAGCGATACCGGCCACGTGCAGCCAGGATGAGTTCTCGGTGGCGGCCTTGTTGACGTAGCTGTGGATTGTGATGCGCTCGATTTCGGGGATGTTGTTGAACTTGATCGGCTTACGGAGGAGGCGCAGGACATCGCCACCACGGGGTCCGCGGAGCACACGGTTCTTGTGGTAGGGGGAGCTGTCGTCCCATTCGCGGAGACGGGGTGCTTTCGGGGGAGGCGTGAAGCCAGGCGGTGTGTGAACGTAGCACAGACTCATGATGTCCGCGGCGACGGTTGCGTCGTAAGTCTGCTCGGCTCGGGGGGCGGAGAAGGGGCCTGGGACGAACAGACGGGAGGAGGGATCGGATGCAGGAGGCGGTTGGTGAGGGTGAAGGGGACCACGGTCGTACTTGGGGGAGCGGAATTGGTATCTAATTGAAGGGGTTGAAGTTAGTTGTCGTTCGCTTATCCCAGCATTCGATATGTTTGTCGTGTCTGCAGATGCGCATGACTTGAGATAAGGTTGGGATGTCGTACCGGCCACGGGGGAGCTGAGTCTTGCGAGCCTTTGCTCGTGCAACGGGATCGAATGATTGTGCTGCACTGTCAGGCACAGGTGTCGACAGAGACGACGCCGATTCCAGCTCGCTCAGGTGGTCCGACAGGCGCCGCGACGGGGCTTCATCGGAGACATTGCGGCGTGATAGAAAGCCCTGCGGGCGGATTGAGGGTACTGAGGCCCTGGGCAATGCCCTTGAAAGGAACCTGGATGGTTCCCTGGCAGCCATTTTGTGATTAATTGGTGTTGTCAAATTGGTGACCATCCCGGACCCTGCCAAAAATTGTTTGCGCATTTCGGCACGTGATCGTATTGGCCTGTCGCGCCTGATTTACAAGGCGTCACAACTTGATATCATCAGACAGGGTGACTCAGACGGGCTAAATGAACATAGGTGACGTATATTAAGGCAACAGCTATTAAATAGCTATGCAATACTGAGGAGCCTCAGCCACTGCTACTTAGAATTGCTGTACGGACTATATCGACCTCTAACCGAGTTACAGTATACGGCAGCAAAAGTCTATTGTGTCTGGCTAAAGTAGTGTGTAGCTACTAATTAGGACACGATTCAACTGAGATAGCTAAGAATATTCAAAATGTCATAGTTCTGTATACTTCGTGACAAGTATTAGCTTCAAAGTCGAAGTATAAGTTACCAGCTTCGAAGTTATTCTGCTCTCGGAAATACGACACTCCGGTTTTACAACCGTACGTAATTTATATAGTTTACCACTTGGATCTCTGCCCCGCAAGATCACCATGTGAGCTTCATCTTCGATCACTTAGTGTCCACCCTTTGCCTCTTCTTGTCAGCAGATCTGGCTTTATGATGTGTTCTTGCGCTTTCCAGAAATCCTGCAGCCTTGACTAAGCTCTGTGCTGGTCTCCAGGGGTCTTGATCCCCGCATGTCGCCTCTCATTTCGGCATTTTTCCTTTCGATCTAGAAAGCCTGCGATTTTGAGCCTGTTCCACCAACAGCCATAATGAGTGGAATCCACCGATTCTTGACGCGTCGCGACCGAAACCACAAGTTGAACAAGCAAAGCAAAGAAGAGGTACTCGCCCAAAGCAGATCAGCTTCGCGCTTCAATCTATACGATAATGTGCTGGCTAACAACTTGGGCTTTTTAGGCATCCCATCTTCTCTCCCGACCGCTATTCCAGAGCTTCTTCAAGTCAGAAACCAAGCCAGAAGATTACCAGGAACATGACAAGAAGGTATGACCTGGTCGCATACGGTCGGCTTGCATACATCTAATGATTCTAACCTCCAAACAGGTTAAAGCCCTCGTGCAACGAATCAAACAACTCGGTATTACTGCATTAGAGGAGGAGCATATCAGCTATGCATTACAGGCTACACACGGAGATACAGAAAAGGCGTTCAGCCTGCTACTTCTGCTGGAGGACTCCATTGAAGGCATTATCAGGACTTACACACCCAACACCAAGCTTCTAGGAGCGGAGAATCGTGCGGGGGTTACATGCTACCTGGATGCCCTGCTGTTCGCCATGTTCGCACGTCTTGATTGTTTCGAGGCCATCCTATACAAATCATTTAGTGATGAGCCCCGTCGAAAGCTTGCAGTTCTTCTGAGATTTTGGGTGAACCTTCTGCGATCAGGAAAGCTCATTACAACAGATATGGTAAGCCATTATTCTTTGCAGTCTTTCTTTACGTTCGGGCTGATATTAACATGATTTTGTAGACGAAACATTTGCAGGATGCTCTAGCAGAATGTGGTTGGGAAGATGCGGCCAAACTCCGCCAACAAGATACATCAGAAGCATTTACCTTCATCACTGAGAAGCTTGAGCTGCCACTCTTGACTCTGAAAATGGACATCTTTCACACCGGCAAAGAGGACGAGAGCGATGACCACAAGTTCATCAATGAAAGGCTTCTGGAAGTTGCCATCCCACCCGAGCCAACCGATGGGGAGCAATCTCTCACGTTGGAAGATTGTCTGGAGGCCTATTTCAATAACAGGATTGAAGTGAAACGACACATGGAGCGACGCAACACGGCTACCTCAACCCGATCAATGGATTCTGCCTCCATATCCAAGGGCTCCACTACACATGTTGAAGCAATCGAGATTGAGACTACGCCCACCTTGTCACCTGAGCCATCGCTTACTCCGCAACCCGAAAAGCCCAGCCCCTGGTCATCGTTCACTGAGTTCACTGAAGCACTTGGCTCATCCCGGACACCTGGTCGACGTGCTAGTATCGTTCGAGAACGGTATTTTCCGGATTCGAGCGAAGAAACCAATTCCGATGATATTAAGAACGAGAACGAGAACGGGAAAGCTACCACGCCAGAAGGGCCACCACGGAGGGGAGTCTACAGGAAAGAGGTGATGATGCCTGCATGGCAGTTTTTCAGCTTGATACGTAAGATCCTCATCCTCTCTTACATATGAAACATAAACTAACTCGGTCCTCAGCATGGTATACTGACAATACGCCAACAAATGATGCGCAAGTTGCAGCGCACTTTTCCTCCAAACGGCCAATCCTTGGGATGTGCCTCAAGCGCTATTCGGTCTTGCCAAATGGTAAGGCAGTCAGGCTCAACACACATATTGATATTCCCACCGAGATTGGCCTGCCTCATTTTATCCAGGATGACAATCTAGATGCAAATGCTCCCATCTATGGCAATTTCAAACTTTCCCTGCAGGCTTTAGTCTGCCATAGAGGAAACTCAGTTGACTCCGGGCATTACATCGCCATAGTCCGGGGCACTAGTCTCGATGTTGACTTTCCTGGCGGCACTTCCTCAGATGCTCCAGAGACATCAAAACATTGGATGCGCTTTGATGATCTTGCAGCAGAACGGGTAACTCTGGTTGACATTGATCAAGCATTGAAGACCGAATCTCCCTATCTTTTGTTCTATCAAATTCTTCCGATTGCTGAGGATCCATCTGCCGTTAATCTTCAGCATGCGGCATCCTCTCGGGCGTCGGATGGCAGTACACTGGGCGATCAACTTGATTTAACCGATGACGTGGCTTCTGACAGACCTAGTGTTGAAGTCACTGGACCTCGTGAAACTGGTGCGCCAGCCTTAGGGAATCCTCCAAGGCGATCCAGCGTGGCATTTTCAGAAAACAGCAACCCAAGCGGTCTTCAGCCGCATTCTATACCATCCTCGTCACCTAGATTGGCACCAATGGAAGAAGAAGGCACAAACAACTGGCGGTCATTCTCTCGTCGTGGATCCCGAGCAACTAGGAGCAATCCTGGAAGTCGTGCCGGCAGTCAAACCGGTGAAAACAGAATCAGCGCCACCTTCTCGCGTTTTGCTGGGCGGCTTAGCCGAGACAAAATCACCAATGATGGATTCAGCGAGGAAGGCGAAGGAGATGAGTCCGCCTTGGACATCGATGAGGCAATGGATGAGATGAAGCTCGGGCCAGGTGCCTATGAGAAGGAGAAGCTTGGAAGAGGACGAAGCAAAGATCGTGAGAGGAACAAGGGGAAGTCCAAGGAGAAGTCCAAGGAAAAGAGCAGGAAACCGGATCGCGAATGTGTGGTGATGTGAGCCAGGTCGGGGATGTCATGATTTCCTTTCTTCTAAATACCCAGTCCAGCGATTGCATGTTTCACATATGATGATACCCCACGATGCATTGTGCGAAGTGACTCTGCGATTTATACTTAGGGATTAACCAGATAGATTCCTACCTACATATGTATGATTTATTGTATTTCTATTTTCGTGTTGGGGAGATTTAGCTGTTGTAGATCCAAGTAGGTAAAGTGATGTTGGCCTGAGGCCATACATCTTAGCCTCCGCATTCCTCGGACCCCCAAGTCTATCTCCGTCTCGCACCAACGCGCAGCCTTGAACTGCCTCCACTCTTGCTCGATCGGCATGACATAGCGCTGCTACAGCTAGCGCATCATGGCGCTGGATGGATCCAGCAGTTACGTTGCTCCCAGCAACTTAATGGAGCCCGCGAGCTCCTCCCTTCCGATATTCGACGTTGAGCGGGTGCAGCTAGCCTTCAACATCGCTGCGGACTTCGTGGCAGCGCAGGTCGCGAACAATGTACTTGTGCTAGCTCTGTCAACCAACCGCATTCTCCGAATCGACCTTGACTCTCCTGAAGATGTCGAAGGTAGGCCTCCGAACCTTCCCCGCAGCAAATGCTGGCTACAACAGCTGAGCTAACATACTCGTGAACAACAGACATCGATCTTCCCAAGAAGTCCTCCGAAGTTGGAGTCATCCGGCGCATGTTCCTCGATCCTTCCGCGTCCCATTTGATCATCACCACAACTCTCGGTGAGAACTACTATCTCCATGCCCAGTCACCGTCGCGACAGCCGAAACCCCTGTCACGATTAAAAGGTGTATCAATTGAGAGTATTGCCTGGAATCCCTCTCTACCAACCGCGTCCACTCGTGAGATTCTTCTCGGTGCCACCGATGGCAACGTGTACGAGACTTATATCGAACCATCTAATTACCGGCGCGAGGAGAAGTACTCGACTCCAGTTTTCCAGGCACCCGGCGCCTCCGCGGTGACAGGAATCTCGGTGGAGCCGGTCTTCTCAAAACCCGATCACAAAAGGGTACTTGTGGCAACCTATGGGAAACTGTTACACTTCACTGGCCGGGCAGGGGCCTCAAAGCATGGGAGAGAGAGCGGCGGGTCTGTGTACTCGGAGCTGTTCCAGCGCGAGACTCCGTTGATGCATGAAGCTCAGAAAGCCTCCGGCTCTGCTCCATCTTCTTTAGTGATTTCACCTGCGGTATCAGAAAGCCATCAGGCTGAAGGATATACTGAAAAGGAATTTGCGTGGCTCAGCTCCGAAGGAATCTATCATGGCCAGCTCGTATCAGAGACTCCGTTCAAGGATGCACATATGCTTGCGCGGTCGGTGTTCCCGGCTTCAGAATCACCCCGGGGAGGTCGGAAGTTGATACAAGACCCGATTTCCGCAATGACTTTGACACAATGGCATATCTTAGCGCTTGTTGGAGGAAAAGTGGTCGCCGTCAACCGTCTCAGCCAGGAGGTTGTATACAATCAAACGGTGCTGGAGCCTGGGCAGAGTGCGCTGGGTCTCTTGACTGATCTCACGAAGAACACATATTGGCTCTTCACCACTCAGGCCATTTTTGAGGTTGTGGCAGGCGACGAAGACCGAGATGTCTGGAAGATCTTCCTGAAAGAGCAGAAATTCGACGAAGCTCTTCAGTATGCCCGAGGTCCCGCACAGCGCGATGCTGTCATGACTGCCTCGGGTGACTTTTTGGCCGACAAAGGCAACTTCTTCGAGGCTGCCAAAGTATGGGGCAAGAGCAGCAAAGGCTTTGAGGAGGTCTGCCTTACCATGATTGACCACAAAGAGCATGACGCCCTGCGAAACTACCTCCTCTCCCAGCTGGCAACCTACAAGAAAGCCTCTGCCATGCAAAGAATTATGGTCGCCAGCTGGCTTGTGGAACTGTTCATGTCCAAGCTGAATTCCCTCGATGACAACATCGCCACCAAAGCCGAATTGACAGAGGGCACGAGCACCGGAGAAATTAAGGATCAGCTCGGCAGCGTACGCGCTGAATTTCAAGAATTTGTCAACAGCCACAAAGCGGATTTGGACCGGAAGACAGTATATGATATCATAAGTAGCCATGGCCGCGAGGAGGAGTTGCTCTTCTTCGCAACCGCTACGACTGACTACAATTATGTTCTGTCATATTGGATTCAGCGAGAGAAATGGCTGGAAGCTTTGAAAGTCCTGCAACGCCAAAGTGATAGCGATGCCTTCTACAAATACAGCAGTGTTCTCATGACACACAAGCCCACAGACCTGGTCGATATCTTGATGCGCCAGACGGACCTCGATCCTGAGAGATTGATACCCGCACTGCTAAATTATAACAAATCCGCCAGTGTCGCCTCCCTCAGTCAGAACCAAGCTGTCCGCTATCTGAACTTTATCATTGTCAATCACCCCAACCCATCCGCGGCGGTCCACAATACTCTCATTTCAATCCATGCGTCCAGCCCCTCAACATCCGAAGCCGGCCTGCTCACCTATCTCCAATCGCAACCATCGTCGCCCCCTCCCTACGACGCAGATTTTGCCCTTCGACTTTGTATCCAAAATCAACGAGTCCAGTCATGCATCCACATCTACAGCACAATGGGTCAGTATCTACAGGCTGTCGAGCTAGCTCTGGAACACAATGACATCGAGTTGGCTGCAATCGTCGCCGACCGTCCAGAGGGCAACGACAAACTCCGCAAGAAATTGTGGCTCCTGGTCGCGGAGAAAAAGATCCGCCAGCCAGGCACTGGTATCAAAGACGCCATTGAATTCTTGCGTCGCTGTGAGCTTCTTCGCATTGAGGATCTAATTCCCTTCTTCCCTGATTTCGTCGTTATCGACGACTTCAAGGACGAGATTTGCGCTGCTTTGGAAGATTACTCGCGTCACATCGATGCCTTGCGTCAGGAGATGGACAATTCGGCCCAGACCGCCCGTCAAATCAAGGGTGAGATTGCTGGTCTGGATACCCGCTATGCGATTGTCGAGCCGGGTGAGAAATGTTGGATCTGTTCGCTGCCTGTCCTCAGTCGTCAGTTCTTTGTCTTCCCCTGCCAACATGCTTTCCACAGTGACTGTCTTGGAAAGGAGGTTCTGGATGGTGCTGGCGGGAAGAAGAAGTATATTCGCGATTTACAGGCTCAGCTCAGTAACGGCGATATCTCCTCCCCTCGGCGGGAGGATATTGTCAAGGAATTAGACTCGCTGGTCGCTGAAGCTTGGTATGTGATAACCTTCCCATGTATTGCTGTGTCCATTTCACTAACCATCTCGTTTGTAGTATTCTCTGCGGCGACCATGCCATCAAACAGATTGACAAGCCCTTCATTGCAGACTCTGAGACAGCCGACGAGTGGGCCCTGTAATAGTATCTGTTCATCTAGCTGTTGTGACCTGAAATGTTACCTGATTTTGGTGGCGATGGATAGACATCTTTTCGTTGGGATACTCTTTGTTATTCTTTTCTCAATACCCTGCTCTATCACAAGCAATTCTACATGAGGTCCAGTCCTCGTATATAGACATGGATCGCTATACTGAATTTGATTCGGACCCAGACATCGACTCTTTATATGCTGGTATAGAAAAGTAGATATAATAAGGGCGGCATTAAGCATAAAAACGAACAACCAACTCCAAACATGCGAACAGACAAGCCCCGGAAAAGACAATGGAAAAAAGAAACGATACTATATCATAGAATACAGTGTAGAAACTAATGCTCAGGCCATAAAGACCGCAAAAGCTCCAGATCCTGCGCAACAGCGGGACTATGCACAGCACAATCTTCCAAGAAACCCAGCATCACCCTAACCCAGCGTTCCCAACCACCAGGCAGAGTCTCACGGAGACGAGGACTAGGTGAGTGAGCGATACAGTAGAAGAGGAGTATCTGACCAAAGAACCTGAGTAGAACAAAAAGTGTTAGCCAACCAAAGCTGACAAAATATAAGAATGTAATAAAAAAGCACTTACTGCGAACAAAACGCAAACCTGATCGGAATGCAACTCTTCATCTTCCGGAAAATACCCTGCGTAATGGGCCAATCCATTGCATTCAATAGGCCGCTCTTCACCTGCTCGAAGTCTTCGTCTGTGAGGAGAGCCGGGGTCCGAAGGGCCTTATATAGATACGGCCGGCCGATGTGGAAGCGGGCGATCATGTAGCGGCCTTTCAGCATGGCATCTGTCACTGCTACTGCCGGCGAGAGGGGACGTGTCGGGTCTGTGGTTCTGGGTCTTGGGGAGGAGAGTTGGGTTTGGTTTGGGATTGGGGATGCTGCTGAGCCGGGTGAGGGATGGAGGGAGGAGTGGTCAATTGGTGTGTTGTTTGAGGAGTAGGGAGTATTTGTGTTTGTGTGGCTGTTAGTGCCTGGGTTTGTGAATTGGATTGCTGTTGGGAGGTTGGTGCGCCATTGTTCTAGTTGGTGGTTGAGTTCTGTGTTTACAGCGGGGAGGGGGAAGGATCCTGAGTCGGCTGGTAGGAGGGTATTTATGCATTAGTAATGACGAGATTTCCAGAAAGGGCTGAGCTGCTTACAGTAGAAGTATAGGGAGTGGCGGATTCGCGTGAGGATGATGCGGTGGGCTACCTGGGCTAGGAAGTGGTATTGGAAGTATGAGTCGTCGACCACGCTTGATGAGTTGTAGCGGGTTGCGGCGTAGCCGGTCGTTTCGAAGCCGATGAATTTGGGAATTGGGACTTGTTCTTCGAGGCGAGAGAGGCCGCTTGATGGGAGGTGTAGCTCTTGGACGAGGATTGTTTCATTCATGAGGCAATTCCAATATACGCGGGATTTCATGTCACCTTCCCATCCATCGAAGTTTACATTATGGCTATGCGCGAGTTAGAATTATCTTGGCCGATTGAGGTGTATGGGTAGGACTTACTTGGTCAGCATTGACAGACAGCATGTAGCGGCACGATGAATCATTGCCCAAGCGTCCATCGGACGGGGAATCTGACTATAATATACACTGTAAGAGTTTAGTATCTATCTGGTAATTGTATTAGGCTTGGGCATGGGTACGCACGAGGAGAGGAGGTAGAACTGGCAACTCTGGATGTCATTGTCGCACATCAAAAAGCCAATGCGTCGACGAGCTTCGTTGAAGAACCGAAGTCCAGGCTGTTCTTCATAGACCACATTCATCCATTCAGGTGGTTCGAATTGATGACCCAGAGTTCCTGGCAAAGGATAGTTTCCTTCTTGAGAGGCTAGGACAGCAAGACATCCCAGTGCTAGCACATTGAGAACCAGACAACTCTCCAAATTGTAGCCGAAACCGCTCTCAATAGCTGAGCCAAGAGTGAAGGAAAAGAAGAACCCCTTATCCATTATAGGGGTGGATGGGTTGAAAACACTGAAGAATGCATCTGCCAGGCCTCTGATCATCGCCAACGGAAGCTCTTCTAGCCAATGTTCTCCCGCCTGGAGAGGATAATGACTTGTGAACATTGGAAGTGGAGGTCGCGCCGACTCCAATTCAATGACATAGTTTTTCCCAAGCAATTCATAGGCAGCGAGTAACTGCTTTGGGAGGATCTGCCGGGCTCCAGGCCACAGAATAACCCCATGTTGACTGAAAGAGATAGAGATTCGACCTGCGGAGTCAGGCTGTGTTTGGTTCTCTTCAAATTCAAAGTCATCTCCATCCCCTGCTGCGGCGGGGGTGAAGTTGTCTCCCATGGCGGCCAGCATGGATGTCTGGTTACTATCGTTGACAGCAGGTGATGCCTGCGTGTGCAATCCATCGGCAGGAGTACGGATCTGGCTCCGAAGAGACTGCAGATCACCCAAGATGGACGTGGGGATATTTTCCAATTTCGTCTCTAGACGATGCAAAGTACTCATGATCATAGTAAGGGATTGGTCCCGTCTGGATTGCATAAGCAATTGAATGTACAAGCCAGCATTGAAACGACTCACTTTGACGATTTACGCTCATTGTAAACACATTCCAGGCCAAGCGACTTGCAGAGCCCACATCTGGGCCGTGATTCATCGCATCGCGTCTTCTTCAGACGACAGGTCTCACACGCCTTGGAACGAGCGTTAGCGAGGCCCGGAGAGCTTGGTCGTGCCGTAGAACCATGCAACTAAGGCAGATGTATCACTTACAACTGTGGCAATGAAGTTCCGGGGCTTCTTGGTCGGTCCGGATGACTGCCCGTGCTCCTCCTCGCCGGGTGAGAGCAGGTCATGAATAGGGAGTATGCCATTGTTATCGGGGTCGGGCGACCTTTGCGCACCTCCCCTAAACTCCTCGAGCGACCGCTTGCTCATTTTGCATCATCGAGAATGGGTTTCTCGTGTTTTATCCCGGCATCCTGAGAGTTTGATATTGATGCGGTTCGTTTTTTAAAATCGGGTGGGTTTCTGGTTGGGTCCGTCCAATCAGAGGCCGTGCTGCTATGAATCATCGTCGCGATTGTCTTTTGTCCATTTTGTTGTTGTTCGATGGATTTATTGCGGATTGCAATTGTGTTTATGAGTTGTTTATGTTATAGAATGAATGTGCCTGTACCCACATCATGTTCCAGTCCTTAATCCCAAGAAGCCAGCCCGATATAACTAGGTTCTAAGCGATTCGTGTGTTTCTAAATATGGTCTCTTTTATGTTCCATTTAATATTGCGACTCATCGAGGCGATAGAGGACGAGAATTTGAGGTTCAAGGTATACTTGCAGCCTACATAGCCACGATAGATGACCGCATAGTTAAATTAGAGTAATAAAAAGACACGATTATAGGTAAAGCAGGTTTCTGTAAGTAGTGGTAGTAAGATTGATATAAGACCATGTACTAGCCGTGATGTCCGCCACTACTTCTAGTGCTACAGATGCATAACTACTATATGCCCTGTAACCTTCCGTGCTAACGTGACTAGAGGCTGGAATATGGGCAGTCTGTCCTCGAAGAATGACAATTTTCCACTGCACCAGTAGGCAGTCATTTTATAGGAGACGGTTCTATAAGTATAAATAGGCAATCACTCAAAGATTCCGTATTACTGGTACGTCATCTTCAATATTTACTACCCTGCTTCTCTAGAGGCCTTACGCAATAGTACTTCATCACGCTGACACGGAAGGTTACACGGCGTAGAGTTATGCATCTATAGCACTAGAAGTAACGGCCAACATCACGGCTAGTACATGGTCTTATATCAATCTTACTACCACTACTTACAGAAACCTGCTTTACCTATAATGATGCCATATATCGTGGCTTATAAGTAACTTTTAGTCTCACATTGTCGTCTCCTATCGCCTTGACAAGTCGCAAAATTTATTGCATCCTTCAGACCAGATCAGCATCCAAACTGTTCGCCGTTACCCTTTATTACTTGTAGCGTCATAAACATTGGCTCGTCGTCTATTCCACTTAATCACTCGGAAAGAGTGCAAGGTTAGTTTTGGCTCTGTGCCCAGATCTCGCCGTCTACGCAGATAAATCTTCAAAATAGCTTCCCATCAGGGCAAGAGGTTCACGATCTGTTCATTAATTTGCATGATTGCCCAAAGGGACATTCTGTCTTCGTTGGCCAGGCTTTGGAAGAATCGACATGGACTATAACCGGCCAGCACCCTTTCCCTGGATTCTGGCGTAGCAAATCCGCCTTCCCAGAAGATGTTTGGGAGTCCGAACAGCGGCTAATGGCCACCTCCGGTCCTACCTTATCATTCCGAATGGGTTCCAGAGCATTGTTTGTGGAAGCAACGGCAAGGGAAGCTCCTCATCACCATCACCAAAGTCGTGCACTCTGCTATAGCAAGTAGATAAATCAAGCCCACACCGACGTCGACTGGTTTCCAGATGGTCAAAAACAACTATAGGCATAAGGAGAAAAGCTACATTCTTTTATTCTCGGGCATGAAAATCTGAACCTTGAACATCACAAAGGTATATCCTGTTTCGAAGTTTGCAGTCCTTAGACTATTAGCCCCCAGAAACAAGGGGACCACCATAGGAGCTAGAAACAATATCCTAGAAGTACTACAAATATAGTTATCAAGGTCTCGTAGAATCGATGTTTGCCTTTCTGGCCTTGTGGCCTTACGGTTGAGGCCAGGGGATATTGATGCCTGACCCTACAGGCATCACGTTAGAGCGGGGTTTCCTTAGTCAGCCAAATTCAACCAATAGGATGACCTCCTCAGGTATTGATATGAGATCATCGTATTCGTCGTCATTCCATTTGCGAATGGAAGAAGTTTCCACTCTTGTATTATCTGGCTTTACTAGAGATAATTAGAGAGAGATATTAATCGGATCTACGGCTTGGCCAGTTCATCGACTTCATAATGGTGTTTTGTTGACGATGTCCATTCACAACCAAATATATATTCGGCCGGTACCGTGGCCTCCCAGGCACCAACCAGTTGGGGATATATCCGAATGCAATCATAACCAGTGTGCAATATGACTCTTGAATATTATTCGTTATAGATAGAGGCTCGACCATAGCTACGAGATGACGAGTCAACTCAAAAATGAGCCCTTGACTCCGGTGGGATGGCTCTAGTGATACATTCATCAAATACATACGTGATCCATGAGCACAAAACATCCCATCACCAATCATCAAACATGCAGATTATGTCAATGCCAACAACGTCCAGACCCGAGACCCAGACCCAGGGTACCACAAGCCAGGGCCAATTGCGAATTCGCTTGCCTGTTGGAAAAACAACCACTGTATTGCGCCACCCAAAACAAAAGTAACTCGAAAATAGAACGTCTCCAACAACCTTGCAAAGTCATCTCACTTTGTCATCGCGACTTTGGGTCTGGATGCAAGCGGAGACCTGATGTCATATTCTAGCTCCGTACTCCATAGGCAAGAATAGAAGCGAGATCCAGTCTCCACTTCTTTATTACTCATTCGAAAACGTGTCCCAACGTCACTGAATATGAAGATGTTCATCATATTTCCTGTAATATTTGTAACTATCCATTGATACACTTGACAGGGGAGGTGACGTTGACAGGGGGAATGTGGCATGGGGTGATACCAAACCCGGCAAAGTGAGGCCGAGGACGGCTCCCGCGGGTATGTTAATTTAGGGGTTACGTAGGTAGAGTTATTGTATACAGTCGAGTGATAAAACATAATAGACTCGTGTGTTTGTTTGTGTTGACCTACAGTAGGGGGTAGAATCGCCTAGAATACGCCTCCAGGCAGGAACATACACCCCGGATATTGGCATTGGACCATGTCTTGAGTTATGACACAAGGCCAAAAAAGGAGGGGTCGCCATACTGATGTTGACTTGGCAACCGTTATTGATACAAAATCGACCTGTCAAACGACTGAAATGTTCGAGATGGGTCAGAAAAAGGCCTCAGGCTGCCTCCCTTGCAGGGCGATCCAACGCACGATTGACTTTTCTGCCCTTGACTTTGTTTACCTTGCCTTTTTTTATCTCTGCACGGTCGCACACGGAGAAAAAGCGAGACTTACAGGAGGCTGGGGTCATGTCATACATTGAAATGCATACTGTTGATGCGTTGACGATCCTGTATTTGTATACAACGTAGTCGCACAGGGCAAAGTCGTGCAACTCTACTCGATGCAGAGCGCCATGTTCTTCCAATCCTGATCTGGATTGGTAAATGTCTAGACTCGGAGTTGATGCTTGTTGTTTTGGGTTTAAACAAAGCCATTCGCTCCGGATCGTGCATAAACATGTCACCATTATTGAATGTGGAGGTTGGACACGGGATCTAATACTGTAAGAATGATGGCGCCGGAATTCCCGTGTCATAGAATGTGTACTAGTCCGAAGCGAGAAAAGCAAAGAAAAGCAAAGAAAAGCAAAGAAACACAAAGAAAGCAAAGGCCAGTTCAGACTAAAATCCGGGGAAGTGGCCCCAACGCCGGTACCAGACCCCCTCTTTTCACGATGATCTCACTATCTCAACGGAACATCTCCTCTACCCGGGATTTCGCATCTAAAACTCTCACTTTCAAAATTGAGAATCTGTCCAGAGATGATGGCATGACGATCGTGCGGGGTATGATAACCATAGAGTTATCAGAGTTGATTCCATCTCCCATTAGATTTGGCACTATTGAACACTTTAATGAATCATGGCGTTATCACCGGAGGATACTTCCACTGCCGACTTCGCCCGGAGTTGGACTCCATACAGATAAGATATCATATCATATCGCCACTGCAGGTCTGTATCATGTTTATCACTGTACTATAGTAAGCAATATATAAATCGCGCATAAGGTATCAACACGTTTCACCTTCTTGCGTGCAACGTGGGTTGGCTGATGCAAAGCGCTACACTAGATGACGAAAATCTCTTAAGAAAGGGCTGGGGTACCAACTCGACCTGCTGTAAAACAAAGTAACAGATATGGGGTCGAAGCCCGATGGAGGGGGAAGATCAAAAGCTGAGCCGTGCCTATCTTCTATCTGCAGCACTCCCGGCACTGAGGATATTGCGTGTTCGATGTGCGATGTCGATCCAGGGTCAAATTGGGTCGAAAGCCCAAGAATTGGTGTCTGCATTTCCCGGAGAATGAGGGGGTCATGATAGACTGCAAAGTGTAAAGTGCGTCGCGTGATGCCGCGGTCGTGCCACACCCACAACTCTATCTGTTCTGTACTTCCTTGCAGACCACAGGAGGCGGTCAAACCGAGTGTAGGGCTAGGATCAGGCAGGGGTCCCCCTTCACCGCTACAGCTGCGTGGGTGTCCGATGCGATGATAGCTTATGAGCACGCTCCACTAGATCGTGCAATAGAACACATGTGTTGTACACTTGTGTTATCTAATGCCTAGTCAACGGTAGTCGGGGGCCGATCTATAACCGAAACCGAAGATCATGAATAATATACATTTAAGTCGACCCCCTGATTAGAAACAAGCCCCTCATGGACGTCAGGGCCAGACAACTATTGTCTCATAATACCGCGCGCCAAATAACGTTGCAGACAGGCCACGGGTGCTATTGAGTTGGAAATAGTAGGGTCCGGGGTAGCCAATAAGGGAGAATCACGCCATCCCACTCCATCGCGTCATGCAGCCTGAAAATAGTGGCCCAATACAGCAGTCTGATTGGTCACCCGTCCCAGAATGGACTGCGCAACCCACTGCATCGGGAATAGTGCGCCACCTTGATCCCTCGACTTAGGCGGTGCCCCTGCTCAGAGAGTTTTAAGTCTTTTTAGTCTCAAAGATAGGGGTCAACTGTAATATCATATCTGGACTGGATGGCGAGATAGCAGATGCTGTTGTCATTGTAGATGATAGAGTTCCATAGTT